AGGGTCTAGGTCCGAAACGTCAGCCTTCCTGCTCCTCTGATGCTGTTGGGCCTGCTGTGTTCATCCAGCTCTACACCTTGTTATCTCTGTTTTAATTACCATATTTAAATGATAAAGAATAATCTCAAGCTCAACTCATACTTTAGTCACCTTACATTCATGCATTAGGAAATGCATGTTTATGACAATGATTCAGAACAGGAATACCAAAAGAAGATTTTTTGATTATCTTGTATTAGCTAAAATGATTTTTCAAAAGTATTTCCTGTTTTTTTAATATTTTGAACTTGTTTTAGGCTTCTTGTTTATTCATTAACCGGATGAGGGCATCACTGGCTAGGCAGCATTTACTGCCCATCCCTAATTGCCCAGAGGGCAGTTTGGGGTCAACCACATTGCTGTGGGTCTGGAGTTACATGTAGGCCAGACCAGACCAGGTAAGGAGAGCAGTTTCCTTCGCTAAAGGACATTAGTGAACTAGATGGGTTTTTCCGACAATCAGCAATGGATTCATGGTCATCATTAGCTTCTTAATTCCAGATATCGTATTGAATTCAAATTGCACCATCTGCCGTGGCAGGATTCGAACTCGGATGCCGAGAAAGTTGTCTGTGTCTCTGGATTAACAGTCCAGCGATAATACCATTAGGCCATCGCCTCTCCACGAGCAGGTAAGTTCCAAAAATTTGAAGGAAATATTTAATTTAAAAAAAAAAATATTTCTGTCTGGAGTCAAACTTGCAAAGATTGTTTAAAATGCAACAACAAAAAAAAAGGCAAATCACTAACTGCTCTACAAAAAAAATAAATTACAACACCTTTGGCAAACATATGATTGACAAAAAAAAGCCAGCTACAAAATCAAATGTTAAAAATGCAGTTAGTACTCTAGTCATGCCGAGCACAGAATTTCGCAATATTCTCAATGCAAATTTTATTGCCATATTATTTTTAAAACTAGTCACAAAATGCTGAATTGTTGACATCTCCAAATTAAATAGTAGAGAAAAAGAAACAATTCTTTAAGCAAGTCTAACTGCACTACCAGCAGTCGATACTGTATATTGAAACAAATACCAATAGCAACTCAATACAGTGTGGAGCTGGAGGAACACAGCAGGTCAGGCAGCATCAGAGGAGCAGGAAAGTCAATGTTTCAGGTTTACACCTTTCATCTGATGAAGAATGTAAGCGCAAAACATCGACTCTTCTGCTCCTCTGATGCTCCCTGACCTGCTTTGTTCCTCCAGCTCCACACTGTATTGACTCTGACTCCAGTGTCTGCAGTTCTTGCTATCACCAACAGCAACTTCTTTTAAAAAAAAAACAAACAGACAGTCTGGAACTGTGCACAATTATCACCAAAATAGCAAACCTGCCCAAAAACAATTTGTAAATGATCCAAGGAAACATTACCAAAAAAATCACTGTTAGAACTTTATTTTAGCTGCACAGACATAATTGAGACTGCACACCATTTGCACAAAATATTATGACAATGGTGAATAAGAGAATTCCTCATTAGTAAGATTGACATAGGTCCTGATGGTCTTCGTGGCAAGTGAAAGAACTTCCAGGTTCCACCATCTGTGGCATTATGTTCTATTCACCCTAATCAATTTTAAACACATTTTCTCAAGCATATTACATGATTCAATGTCAATTTCTAATAAACCTAATGTTATAATTCAGCAGAATCCTGGGCTCTGGAATTCTCACCAAATCACAGATTAAAACTGATTGGTCAATCTCATGTCCAAATTTTAGATAAACTGCTAGAAATAAACTTAGAAAGCAGTAAACAGGTTACAACTGTACAAAGGACTGTTTGCTGGTCCTGGAGTTGAGCATTTTAGAATCACATTAATAGGTTTTTTTCAGTTGTGTTTTTTGGGCTGGGCTGCCAGAAAGAGTGCTATCAAGCAGTAAATGGTCCCGCCAATTGTCAATGCCATTGTAGTCCTGTATAGTAGTCGATCAGGGACACCTCGCTTCAAATGTACAGGCAAACCATCTGGCTTCTGGAAAGCAAGCATAAGAGCTTTAAATTAATAGAATACTATACATATAAAAGTTAACACAACAATCATGCTCGTACATTAAATATCTTTGTCCGGATTTACTAATGTTCTCTCTAACTTAGGAGGCTGCTGAGCAACCTACAAGTTCCCACACACAAATACAAGTTACACCCTGTGAGCTGCCATGTATATGCAACTGAGCAAATTAAATTTAAAGGTTCTGTGCGCATTTTCTTTTGAAAGATAAGGAACATTGATTTTGACTCTCAAAGTGTGCACTCAATGCATTTGTGATGGTCCCCCAAACTTTTATAGTTAAGACAAACATATTAATATTGTATTCTAGAAAGATGTTGGGGGTTGGGACTGGGAAAATAAAATAAAAACACCTGAAATATATGATCTTTTATATGATGTTAGTGTTCTTGTAGAGGGATCTGGGGTCCAGATACATTTTAAAGTCACAAAGGATCTAGGTAGAAAGTAGAGAAAGAAAAACCTGTTTGAAGAGTCAACAACCAGAAGAAAGAAATTTAAAGTCACTGTCAACAAAACCAGAAGTGGGAGTGCTTAAAGCAATAAATAACCAAAATAAGCCTAAGTCCAAACAGGAAAAAAAAACTGCATTTAACAAGACAGGAAACTAGCACTTCACAATGGTGTGGTATCATTTTCTGAAAAAGGCTAGTTATTACGACATTTCCACTTCTAAACAAAAATAATCAGCTTCAAGTGTTTTTAGAATCACGATATAACAATACATGTTATAACTAAAGCCTAAAATATAGTTTGGACATGAACTCCACACTCTCAAGAGATGTTTTAGTTCTGTACACAACCAAATTCAACTTGCTGCCAACTATTTTGTCTCCAACAATTATTCAAGTTAACCTTCAATATTCACAATTACTATTGCTCATCTGAAGTGCAACTTGAACCTATGACCTTCAGACTCAAGAGACAAGATGTTCCCACTGAGCCACTGCAAACACCTATAAACTTACACCTACAAGGTAGATTGTGGCAGAAGCTCCAGAAAGAGTTCTTTTAAAAAGTGACCAAAAAGGCAAACCCATCAGGAGCAGACAGCAGTAATTGTTGACACCTATCATTCTTAGAAAATTGTAACTTTAGCCAGCTCTATTATCTGGCACAATTCCAAATACACATTGTTCAAAAGGAAGGTTGTTACATATCTATTAACACATCAGCCAGTTTAAGTATTTCCTTCTTTGAACTCAAACACAAGTAAAATGTTATTTCAGTATAATGAGCGTTTTTTTTTAATAAAGTATTTTAAGCTGTAGATAATTATATTGCACTAAAAACTCAGCTATGGAACAGTTCAGGAAATCCCATGCAGTTAATTATTCTCAAGTACAGATATTATAATTGCCAAGTGTTGGAAATAACGTATATGAGAAAAACAACACTGCAAAATGCCACTGTTTCCCTGAAAAAGTGACTATGATTAAGAATCTGCAGCTCCTGCTGAGTGTTGAAACATACATTGCTGAGGTGGCATCCAGCCAAACTATAGTAATCTAAAATTTGCTTCATTAGTTGGTCTCTATTGAAGCATAGATCCAGCTTACATAAAATGTTGTCATACATTCAATTTGAACAAGTGGAAACAATGGACAAAATAGAGTGGAACCCAATTAAAGTGCAGACAATGCACAGAGACATTCATCTGGTGCGGCCAAAGTCAAAATTCAAAAGTTTATAATATTATATTGTTTCTTAGATTTCTTAGAGAAAAGCAGGTCACGTTGTTGCTTAACTTCTTTTGAGCGCAGATGAACATCCTCAGTAACTGATGCACCACGCAACTAGAGGTAGAACTTCATGAACGTGCATGAAAAAATATTCATCACGCTATCATGACTCCTCTATGCAAGACCATAATGATCCCCTATCATTTCCAAAACTCTTTGAATTTCTTAAAAGACCGGAATTCCTTAAAATTCCTTAGAATGCCTTAATTATAGCAAAAATATTTCAAATTCTAGATTCATACCTGAAATATTTGCTGGAAATCAGGCACCTTATTCCGTCCTAAAAAGTGCATTCCTCCTCCTTCCAATTCAGACATGGTTTTTGTTGGCGTGGCAAAAATCATAGTGGAAGGTTCTGTAGAAACTAGAGGCTTCAACCCCTTTATAAAACATTAAAAATAATCAGTGAAAGATGTGTTTGCAGTTAGGTAAATTATACTTCTTAAAAAAAAAAATCACAACTAGATTAATTAGGGCAGGGTTTTTCAAGATTCTGTCTTCATGGACCGCATTAGCACATATCATATGAGGAGAGAAAGACACACAAAAGATATATGTATGTCCTTATGACTTTTCATAAATTAATTGATAATATAAACTGAACATAAATTTCTAATTGGAGTTTATCCACCAATTCACGTGTATCGCACTGAATCTACCACCATTCAGTAACAGTAAAACCCACACAGACAGCACTTCATTTGTTTGTGCAATTTTACTACTAAATACACAAAAAGTGGCTAAATTACAAGAATACATTGTAAATGAATCCCAAGGTCCATAGTCAATGATACTGTAGTATCCAATTTATGTTAATTATGTACGAAAAATGTGAAATGATGCATGGATTCCCAATTAGCCATTACCTTAGGGTCACAAATCAGAACATTCTTATCTTAAGGACCCTGAAGTAATGCTTTGCTTGAAAAGCTCCACTTAAATAAAATTACACATTGGCTGAGCATAGTTTAAAATCATCATTTCGTAGTGCAGAACTTTAGTATTGTTGGAAAAAAGAAATATTTTGTTGAAGCTTTACATCTTGCACTCATCAGGGCAATTCACATGAAAACAAATTCAAGAGGAAATTCAACACATGACAAATAAAGGATATTCTAACATATGACATGAGAAAATGCACCAATTAATGATGATTGACAGATAACTGCCAAATTTAAATTTTAAGCCAGGCAGGTTGACCGATTTCTCAGGGCAATGCCCTAAGCAATGTTTGTCATTTTTCTCATGCAATTGGAACAGAGGGCAGTGCATGTATATGCTCTTTCTGATTGCAAAGAACATGGCTCTGTGTATTAATATATGTGGCTTCCAGTATGTTCCCTTTGAGCCCATTCAACAATTTTAAAATTTGTTGTAATTGCTTCTATGGTAATTACAGCCTCTACCAGAGTCCACTTGCCAACCAATCTTCACTCTCCTCTCCTGCATTATAAATGATGGTTTTCCCCTCGAATTGGTATTGCTGTGAATTGTCCTAATGAGTGCAAAAACAGAACAGCCTTGACTAAATGTGCATTCTGCAGCAATAGTTCTAATTGTCAGATAAACAACTGTACTTGCTCTCCAGCTATGGGACATTTATATTTGTTTTAGTTAAGTAAATATATGACTAGCAAGTAATAGTTGCTTTATCTTAATCTCTGATTCATTGATACATGTGATGGCTCATGAAGTCATTTTTGCATTTCAAAACTTTGCTGTTTCTTTTTAATCCCAGCTCCTTCCTTTTTAACTCTCATTTTTAATACACTTCCTACACTTTAGTTTACACACTTATCTTTTCATCTGTAGGCCTGAATAATTTTTTGGCTAACTGTCAGTCACTTTAAGTTCGGTGCAGTGATTCTTGCCACATCTTACTAAACTTACCACATTAATCGGAGTTTCAGTCTTTATGACAGATAGCACATTAGATTTCTATCCCATGTTTCGACCTGCCATTCCCGGATAATTCTCCGAAACCTCAGAATTATCCATCATTTCTAGCGCCAGTGCCAAATTTCAAAAACCGTTGCGCACCAGGACAACCAGAGCTGCACAATTGCTGATATTTGCCCCAAATTGGTGCTCCACTTCGAAGCCAGGATCCTTGAGCTCCTGCGGGACAAGGTGGTGCACTGGCAAGAATTTGTCTTTCTCCCATGACCATCAGTACAGGCCATAGCACCAGTCTATGGCAGCCTGGTCAGAGGTTGTCACCCGGGTTAGGGCGGTTTCAACCATCAAGAGGAATGCCCAGCACGATAGGAAGAAATTCAATGTCCTTCCATACTTCAATACCTTAAGTGCCACCATCCTCTCTCTGATACCTCATACTCCCTCATCTCTGCTACTGTACCCAGGTCCCACTAATGCTCATCCTCTACTAGTCTCTCTAACGCATACAACATCTTCCCCACTCACCCTCACACACCCTAACCTGCTACATCACTAACACTGCACGCCATCTGCACTGCCTAAACACTTGCTCAGGTCATCTCCAACAGTAAAACTCTGTCATCCACTTCCAGCTTACAAAAATTGGTTTCAAGTTTTAGTTAAATATTAGATTGATATACACAACTATTTTCCCTCAGATTTACTACACTGTTTCATTGCCAAAAATGACACTGTGACATACAGCACATTTAGACATCTCCTACGGGATTCCTCAAATCATTCAAAGATACCTAAATAAGGAACAGCTTTTTGCAACCACTTCCTAGATGCACGATTAATAGATAGGGATTGAACAGTGCATGCAGGAGACAATTTAGGTTGCTAGATCAAAGATAATAGACTTAAGTGATCGTATGTTGGCTTAGTCTTATTGAATGATGCATTTTAAACATTAAGACCACTAGCCCATAAGATGAAGAATAGAAGTAGGTCATTCAACCCATCACGTCTGTTTTGCCATTCAATTAGATCATGGCTGATCTGATAATCCCTTTTGCGCCTTTCCCCCAGAACCCTTGATTCCCTTACTAATTAAAACAAATCTGTCAAACAAAAATGAATATACTTTACAACCATCCTTGAAAACCCTATGTCAAAAAGTTAACAGATTCACTACCCTCAAGAGAAATTCCTCCTCATCTAAATATGTGGCTCTTTATTCTGAGACTATATTCACAGGTTCTACATGCTCTCAAAAAGGAGAAACCACTTTTTTCAATTGGCCCTGTCAAGTCTGATTAAGAATCTTGGATGTTTCAATAAGGTCACCACTCAATCTTCTAAATTCCAAAAAGTACAGGCCCAACCCTCGTCAACTTCTCTTATAAGACACAGTCTCTCCATAATTGGGATCAGCCTACTGAACCATTTCTAGACTTCCTCCAATACCAGTATCTCTTTCCTTCGACAAGGGGCTCAAAAGTGTTCACAGTATTCCACCTGTAGTCTGATTACTGCCCTATACAGATTTAGCAAAAGTTCCATACTTTTATACTCCATGCCCTTTGAAATAAAAGCCAATATTCCATTTGCCTTCCCTACTACCCATTGAATGTGGGTGCTAGCTTGTGATTCATGTGCAAGGACTCCCAAATACCTCTATTCTGAGGCTTTCTACAGTCTTTCTCCATTTAAATAATATTCAGCTCCTCTATTCCTGCCAGTGTACATAACCTCACATTTTCCAACATTATATTCCATCTCCCGACTTTGTGCCCATTCCCTTAAGCTGTATCTCTATGCAGACTCTTTGCATCATCGTCACCCCTTGTTTTCCCACTTATTTATGTGCCATATAAAAACTGGCTGTAGTACATTCACTTTCCTCAACTAAGTAATTTTTATGTAAAACATTGATCTGAATACTTCAATAATAGTGACAGTGGAACTATCAGCATTTATCATTAGTATTCCTCTTAAAGAGGCAGCAATTTCAGGAGCCCTGCAAATCTGCTGTTGAAAGCAGAAATTCAGACTTCAAAATGTGACTGTAGCTTTAACAGATTGTCATGAGATGTTTTGAAAAGTTCACAAAATAATCAAGATTAAAACTTTCCAGAGGTTTATAAATTAACTTCTGAATAGTAAAAGTTAAATATCCAATGCATCTTTGCGATCTCAAATGCATCCTAGGGCACCCAGAGTGACAGACATAAAACCTGAAGCAGCAACATAGTTTGCCCTTTTGCCTGACATTGGCTCTAAATATGAAAAGTGAATGTAGAATGGAGTAACAATAAACAATTCAAAGATTGAATCGAATTCCACAGTGCATTTGTAACTCAAATATGTCAACCTGACTGGCAGTGCTTTTACAGGATAACAGTACTATCCAACTATTCTGGGCTCAGGAATTCTAAAGATTCACAACCATTGGTGTGAAGAAATTTCTCATCTCAGTTTATTTATTTAGAAATAACAACTAGTCCACTCAATCACTCTTCATAAGACAATCCTTTCATCCCAAGAATCAGTCCAGTGAATGTTCATTGTATTTCTTCCCTCCAGGATATGAATGTCTTGCCTTAGGCAAATAAACCAAAAAGTATACACAGTGGTCTTAGCAAGGCTCTACGTAATTGTAGTAAGACTTGTAGTAAAAGCAAATAGAATGCTAGCCTTTATTTCAAAGGGCATGGAACACAAAAGTAGAGAGGTTTTGCTAAACCCATATAGGGCACAAATCAGACCACAGCTGGAATACTGTGAACAGTTTTGGGGCTCTTATCTAAGAAAAGAGATACTGGCATTGGAGGCAGTCTAGATTGTAGTAAGATACTAACACTTCACTCCTTTTGCAATAAAGGCTGACACAGCACTTGATTCCCTAGTTGCTCATGGTAACAGAATATTAGCTGTGGTTTGTATATAAGGTAACCCAGGACCGTCTGAATACCAATATTTCACATTATTATTATTATTTTGAAGAAGATACTGTTTTTGATTTTTTCTACCAAAGTGAATACACTCAGAATTCCCTATGTTATATTCCCATCTAGCATCTTTTTGCCCATTCATTCAACATATTTATACCCACTCCATGGTCACTTTGTCCCTTCCTTCCAGGTTACTATTTCACCTAATTTTGTATTGTCCATAAACTTGCTTTACACATTCGATTCCCTCATCAGTGTCATCCGGTCTTATTCAATCATCTCAAAAGTGCAAGGTGAACATCAGGCAAGAATAGGACCAGGGTGGTCTCAACAATAATTGCTCCTACAGTTGAACAAGCTATCATTTTACATTCATGTGCAAAACTAACGAGTTAAGTTTCTCAGGTGGAAGGAATAACATTATTTTCACAGCCTCGAGACATTACAAAGCTTTTCAAAACCAGTGAAGCACTTTGAAAAATAGTCACTAAATATACTTTTATCAATTTACGAATTAAGTGTACGGGTGGGGTGGAGACGTCAGGTCAGAGTGACCTTGGTCATGAACAACTCACTGGTTTCCTTCCCGGTCATTCTGTCCCAGTAAATAAACAGCGGCTCCCCTACAGCGAGGTCAAGTGGGACACAGCTTTCTACGGGGACCGCCTTTACTTGTACGCAGCCATGTCTCCGACCCGCCGTTTCCTACCTGCGGGCAATAGGCCACAGACCCAGCCCCGCCGCTCAGTCTCTGCGTGAATCCGTTAAACTTGTAGAACATGTTCGACACCCGACGCCGGGAAACTGCTGCGACAGAAAAAGGAACCCAGCAGGGTCCATCCTCAAATGTCGCCCCGTACACACGTCATCACGGGTGTCTCGACGCCGCCTGAATGTTTCTGTCTTAGAAAACCTTCCTCGTCGAAACGGGGGTGCACTTTAGTCTCTTAAAAATTGAGTGTGACTTGAATAGTTGAATTTACTGTGTCTACCTACTGGAGCATTGAGCCGAGTCCTGTAACTTTGAAGGAAAATCGACTGCAAGGTATGTGGTTAATTGACAGGTCCAGGGAAGGTTGAGTTGTTTCCTAATTAACCAGTTCAGAGATGTTACCACTCACCTCGAGTAGGTGGGACTTGAATCCGGGCAGCAGAAGGTTATTGTTTACACCAAGTTGCTGTTTCTGATGAAGGGTCTAGGCCCGAAACATCAGCCTTCTTGCTCCTCTGATGCTGCTTGGCCTGCTGTGTTCATCCAGCTCTACACCTTGTCATCTCAGATTCTCCAGCATCTGCAGTTCCTACTATCTCTGAAAATTATGTAGTTGTCCACCTAATACTTCTCTTTCACTGATAGTCTTTTTTTTTGCCCATGAATGTTTACTTTTCAAAAGAAGTCAATCTCTTGAAAAGAATGTTTGGCAAAGGCCACTCTACCCATCTAGTCTGTGCTGCCCCACTGATGGAGCAATTCACCTAATGCTACTACCTTGACTTTTCCCCTTAGGTCTGTTATCTGAAAAGGAAAGAATAATGTAACGAGGCCCTTTAGAAAGCCTCAACTGACAATGCCTCCACCACACTGCAAGGCAACACATTCCAGATCCTGAGATAACAAGGTGTAAAGCTGGATGAACACAGCAGGCCGAGGAGCAGGAAGGCTGACGTTTCAGGCCTAGACCCTTCTTCAGAAATGGGGGAGGGGAAGGGAGTTTTGAAATAAATAGGGAGAGAGGGGGATGTGGATAGAAGATGGATAGAGGAGAAGATAGGTGGAGAGGAGACAGACCG